TGAGCATATATATATATATATATGAGTGTGCATATATACATATGAGTGTGTGTTTATATAGGTGCAGAGACCTATGTGTCTATCTATCACCCTATCGGCATAAATAGATGCGCTAAGCCTCTAAGCCTCTCATAGACATGCATCCTACATGACACAAGAAGCCCCCACCTCTTCAAGTAAATCCAGCACAGGCTTTGGATACCACAGATCAGCGAAGCTAACATGTCGTCGACTCCCCCAAGTCCCACCCAAGCCAAGCCTCAAGATGCGATCCAGGACACTCCGGGACAATACGTCCTGGAGCGAAGCAGTGTCGTCGCCAAAGCAGACTTCATCGAGGCTGTTGCTGCCAGACTTCTGTAGCCAGCCACCTCGAATGAGCCTCAACTCTTTGCCCCAGCTCACAACACATTATTTCAGAATTTTTTGTGGATTCAGCTTCCGGTTGTACAACCTGCGGCGACAAGGATCTATACCAAATCCGCACTGATGCACGCTTTTAAATTTTCCCGCACTGTAAAGGCACTCGCATCCCCGTGGTAGGGTGGGTGGAAGGGGTGTCGTGCTATTAGGTAAGCCGGCAACAGATTTTAACATGAGACTGGCTATGGGATGACCACTAGCATCAACCTGTCATAGTTGAAGATGAGTCTCCTGCCACGACGCTTTGGCCACCGTACTTTTGTGCCTTTGCTGCTGGAGCTTTTGCTACCACCGTCACCGTCGCCAAGCCCACCAGCGCCATCACTAGCCCCAACACAACTGCCGCCACTCCTTACAAGTTTGAAAGGGTTTTGGGGGGTTGTAGGGTTCTCATGACTTCCTCCGACAGGTCTGGGTGAGTAGCGGGAACTAGTATTTGCGAGAGAGGGATTTGGGGGACTTGGTGAAGGGCGCCTTATACAACCACTACCACTATTACTTCTAGTAGGTACTACTACTACTTTTACTCCTGCTGCTACTGCTACCGCTATTGCTACTGCTACTGCTACTGCTACTGCTACTGCTACTACTACTACTACTACTACTACGACGACGACGACGACAAAGAAGATGATTGCGTACAGCTGCATGCTAGTACAACTACTATTGCTACCTGTTATTGCAACTGCTACCGCTACTGCCACTGTGAACACTCACACCACAACTGTCAGAATGCCACAACCGCCAAGGCGACCACGAGTGCCACCGCCACCTATTGCCGCGTTTCTTGCAAATCCACTTCGGAGACAGGCCCGCCTCACCTTGGCGCTGCCGGCTCGCGGCCGGTCAATAGAAGGTGCCCTGGTGCGTCGAGTGTGTAAGTTTCATGAATGACTGCAGGACACTTACTGACTCTCATCAGCGCGGCCATTCAACATTGTCACTGCCGTTCGCCATGTTACCTTAAGTTGCATCTGTAGGTAGTAGTGGGGTTTGACCATCCATCCAAAGCCTGTTGCAAAAGGTAGTTGACTTTGCCTACACACCTGGTAGCAGCAAAGGGTCACCATGGCGATGATTACCGTAATTGCCGCAGGTGATTGGTATGCGACTGTGATGGAGTGGAAAGCAGAAGAAACGTCCCGGGAGACAACCTTTTTCAACCCTTCTCCTTCTTCTTAAAGAGACGCCAAGACAGAGCCAGAGCAACACCCCTCCAGCTGCCCACGACCTTGTCAACTTGAAGATCATGATGCTTCGAAGGCTACCGTGCGGCGGAGATTGTCGGGGGCTTCTGTGACGCAGTGGAAGGCTGGGTGTAGCACAGGCTTCAGAGACTGTGAGACTCCAGATCTGTTCGGCCCAGTCTTTGTTGAGGAGCGCAGTGTTTCACCAGACTGTCCTCAACTTACGCAATGCTATATTTGTCAAGTTGGACAATGGCATCCTACAGCCTACAGCTCCAGATGGTTGGAGCTTCGAGTTTGTGTGTGCCACATCAGCTGTCTTCCGAATCCAGTGGTTCCACATAAACTTGATTCCCTATTGCTCGCAGAACTATTGCCTGTTGCTGTGACATCCGTGTTGTCAGGCTCACTCTTTTACAAGTCTCTGGACACAGCCGCGCTCAAGAGTCACATTGAAGCAGTCGAGGATCAGGACTCTGAAGCTATGTGCCAGGGCTGGCCATTACATACTTTCAATTCAAAGCAGCTGATGCCCTGCAGGACGCGCTGCGGAAACTGCTCCCAGGCATGGGCCTGGTGGCCTTTGTGGGAAATGGCGCCATCCTGCCACGGAAACTTGCTCTGGGCTTGGGCGTAGAGTCTCCCGCAAACTGTAGGTGCAAGCGTGGGCCATAAGCAAACAACTGACTTGACTAAGAGATCTTTGGAATGCTTGCAAACCCAATATATTGCAGAGCTGCCTTCAAGCTCCCGGATCTGCAATTCCTGCAGCAACCGAGGAAGAGTGGCGTCGATGATCGGCCCATGACGAAGAAGGACCCAAGATGCGCAGCAGCCTGTAGGGCCCGAGGATTGTGCGCGGTATGAAACTAACATTGACTTGTCATGGAAGGGCATGTGGAACCATGTTTGTGAGAAGCGAAGCCTTTGTTTTGATAACAGCGCACTTGCGCGGTCTCAAAATCCGCACGAAGTCCGCCATAGATCCTAGCATTCCTTTCTTTAAGCAGCTGTACAGAGGTAGCCAACGTCTGAAAAGGCGTTGCCAAACACCCCTCAGAGCCACGGATTGTGATAGTGTGCGCGCATGTCTTTGGCAACAACCTTCCGACACGTTCATGTTCAAAGCTACTTGGCATGAGGTGCGTTTGGCACTGAATGCACTGGATGCCCACTCGCCCGAAGAAAGGTGTAAGAGACTACCTTGGTCAGTTTCCTCCGCGGATCAGATACCCCTTCAGAACCTCGGCAAGTATGACACAGGACTCGCCAGACCTGGTGACGTTCGAAAGCCCTGCCTCAATGGAAGTGACCCTGTCGCTTCCACACGCAGGCAAAAATTAATTCATTTCTGGCGCTCACTCTGACTTGCCATAGACAGCATGAACTTCCACGCCCGTAGACATGGCTACTAGATGCAAGACCTTTAGACGACAGGAATGGCAAGATCAGAGATGCAGAAGCATCGGTTCCTGTGTTGTTTGGCATTACCTGTGGCAGGTGACGTTATTGGCATGGGCATTCAGAAGGGCGTGACCCTCATTGTGGGCGGCGGCTTCCATGGCAAGAGCACCCTGCTGCAGGCCACACAGCTTTCCATTTTGGATCGTGCGTGTGGTTTGAGTGGGCCACAGGAAACTCGAATTATGACTTGTTCGAAGTTGGCACTTGGATCTTTAGCTCCCTAAGGAGTGACAAGTGCCCTGGGGTAGATCTGGACTTGGCTTGCTTGACAGACAGGGGGTAGATATCATGTTGCAACCCATCAGCGAGACATAAAGGTGTTGACCTGCGAGGCTTTGCAGTTGGGCATCTACAACAAGGCGGGAACTTCAGGGAGGCAAAGGCAAGTACCGGGCTTGCCTGAGACTCATGCGCTCGCACATAGAGCTGGGGTGGAGTTTTTTGTGATGTTGTTAGGCTTAGCATCGAGATGCTAGAACGTGCTCGGCACGTGATGCCTGTAGACGAGCGTCAGCTGAGGGGTTGACTCTCTGCATCCGTTTGGGATGATTCGACAGGTTCCAGGAGACGGTCGGGAGCATGTGGTTTGTGACCCACACGCAGCGCCTGGGGCTACAACCTTTATTTTGCTGGCTTTGCGGGGCAATGAATCACCTCTGCGAAAGCGTCTGCTGGACCTCACCTTGGAGATTCTGAGGTGAAGATCCGTGCCGAGGACGGCCGTTCTGTCAAGAGCACTGACATCTCGCCGCCACTTGGCAAGCCCCTGTGGCAAAGCAAGCTTGAAATGTCTTCTTCGTATCCGAGGTTCATCAACAACCTGCCCTTTGGCAAGCAGACGCAGCAATTTTCAACTGGAGATGCCTCGGGGTCCACGTCGCAGGCCTTCAGAAAGAGGATCTGACCAGCGCAGCCACCTCTGGGGGACCGTCGTCGATTAATGGATCTGAGCCACTGTTAACGCAGGCTGCCAACATCATTGAGGCTTTGGAGATTGGCTGCAGTACGCTGCTTGCAGCCTGCCATACCAAGTAGTTGGGAGTTGTTTTTTGAGGAGTCGGCGCAGCGAGAAGGTTTTGCAGTCTTCTCCCTTGGCTTGGCCTCAAGCATGCCCTATATCAGCTTCCAGGCAAACAGCTCAACTCTGTTCATTCCCACTTGTTCGGATTACAGAGCAATCTGTTTGAGGATTCCTGTCACCTCTTTCCATTTGATTAAACAGTGTGCATGTGAAGCTCTCCTACTCTGCAAGGTAGATGAAGATACCTGCGCGACAAATTTCATGATACGGGACGAGAAGATGAAGGCAAAGGGTGAGAATGAGAGTGTAGACTTGTAGACTTACTCACGGATGCACCAGGGCCAAAGCCAGGACAGGGAGGAGAGGTTTGCTAGGACAATGTTTGGGTATTTTGCTCTTCAGGGCACTCTTCGGTCAGAATTCTCAATGAGGGTTTGTGCTTGGCTTAATGCCCCTGATGGGTGGTGAGTGGTCCAAAAATCTTCTGGTGCATCCTACGTGCAGAGCTTCCTTGCAGCATTCCTGTTTGAAGGCGCTGGTGGCTCCGGACAAGGAGCCGATCACTGCCTTCGTGTGCAAAGTCCGCTCACTACTGGAGGAGCACGGCGTGTCCACTGCTGCTCGGCATCTTTAGGTCACCATCACGCATGATTTTCTACCATAAGTCTGCAACCTCCAGTGTGTTTTGACTCTCAAGGTTCTGGTCGTGGGCGGAAGTGGAGATTTCTTCAGCGTAGCGGATTCTGTCATCATGATGGATGAGCCTCTTGGTACCCTTCAGCGCTGCCTCTTGTCAAGCCCACTTCTGCGACGTGAATTGGTTACAATGTTTGCAAAGCCCACCTGAGAAGCTGGAATGCGATCTCAGCAATTCTTGCATGCTCCGAAACCCTGGCAAGCCGAAGACCGCTAGAACTCTTTGCTTGTGCACATCTCAAATCGGAATTTGGCTGCGGTAGCACTTGCTGGTATGTTGCTAAGGTATGTCGCAAAGGATGTCACCAAACGTGCTCGTGAGATCGGACAGAAGCACCTCGGTACTCTTCCAGCAGCATTTGCAAGCAAACCTTCGGAGAGAGGGAGAGAACTGCCATGAGACGTAACTCGCTTCAACGCACTCTCCAGGCTCCTCCCACATGCGGGCCCAAAATTTTGCTAGCTTTCGCCCTTCTGCTGCAGTTGGACGCTGCAAGGTCCGCCCCGCCCACTCAGGCGTCCTTTGGCAAGGCCGTATGGAGAGAGACTTCATGGGCTGGTAGGTCGGGTTGGGATGAACCATGCTGAAAGCTAGCCTGACAGCAACGCAGCTTTGGCACCTCAGCTGGGCTTTTGAGGGTACGAACTCCAAACCCGAACTTCTCAAGCTTACCCTTTTGGCGTGCATCTTGCACTTTGCGGCAGGTTGCGCGCCGGCGGCTGCAAGCAAGCGGGCTTGCTGCGGATGGCAAGGTGGCAGCGCGAAGCCTGAGGCAGGAAGACAGGGTTTCTGTGAGTGATGCATGACCGTGCAGAGTATAGGATCTGCGCTTGTGAGGTTCTTCTTGGCATGCATACAGGTACACCTCGAGGAGGGCTGCAAAGATTGGTCCTAGCGCTTGGTAAGCTGCGTGATGGCTTTCCTGCACCCAAGACTGTCAAATGCGTCTTGCTGCCCTCAACCTGCTCGCATTTGTTTGAAGGTGTATTCAGTACGGTGAGACGGAGGCATTGCGCCCGCACAGACTGCCGGTTTTCGCTTGAAACACAGGAAATATTATAGATGGAAAGTAATTACTGTATCCAGTAGAGCGATCAATGAACGATGGTGCTGCGGACTTGACCGCTTCCGATAATGTTGGCATTGCGAAATGAGCCGTCCCCCTGTCAACAACACAATCCAGCACTGAGCACTAGAACCGTCTGCAACGCTAAGTGCCTGCTATGGCATGCGCCCAGCGAACCAATCGTATTGGACCTGGGAGGTGGAGCTGAGCTGTGTGGAGCAGCTCGTCGAGATCAGCCAAGCGCGAGCGCAGCTTGGCATCCAGACGTCACGCCCTAGGCAAGCAGAGGAACCGACTGGGAGGTGCATGAAGTTTGCAGAGCTTTGTGTTGTTCGCTCCTTGGTACAGCCCCAGTTGGCTCTACATAATGCCTGGTCCAAGCAACACTTCACGAATGTGCTTTTCAGGATCAGCTTTAAAGGGGCCCAGTTGAACTCCACTTGATAAGATGTTGCCTGCAAAAGATTTTCACAACCGGGACTTGCGTCGTATGACACATTTACTAGGGTGCAAAAGCCTTGGACCCCAAGTCTCTAGTTTTCCCAACCCCTGCCTGTTTGAAGCTGAGGATCGGTGACGTGCTGCAGTTCTTGGGCGATGGCTGCTTGGTTTCCTTCAAAGAGCCAAGACAAAATTCATGTCTTGCAATTTCATTTCGCTGGGGCACATGCCCAGAAACAGAACTGTTTGTAGCTAACAGTAACAACACATGAGCCATAACGAAAGCATGATGAAAGCTCTGGGACTTGCTCCCACAGCAGCTCTGTACGAGGTAATCTCGTGAAGGGTGGCCGACCCCTTACGAGCGCTCTCCGGCTGCAACCTAGGGTTCTTATCGATCAGCTGGCTTGGGTTTGCAAGGCTCTGCAGTTTTGAGTTCGTGCCTGGCCTCGACCGTTGTCTGATTATTTGTCTTGTTAATCAGTTCAAGAAGCCGCCTTGCCCGGTCTGATCCCTGCTTGCCAAGCGGCCCTAGTCACAAGGGCCTCGATAGCGCAGAGAGGTTTACTGCAACTAGCCGTCAAGGTCAATTTATCCAGGTGAGCTTTCCAAAATCCGCCCCCTGCGCGGTTCTTTTCTCCAAGGTTTCTCAGGCTACGGGGTGCCGGTAATTCAGATAACAAACAGACGGCATGGTTTCGCGGAGTAATGGTTTCCCCGAGGTGCACTGGGACTTAGCAATTACTGGAGGCGCAACTCCTGACTCTCCTGTTCGTACGGTCTACATGGCTAAGGATGCGGGGTGGAGCGCTGCCTAGATATAGTTTCAGGCCTCTGCGGAGCTTGGACGTCATCATGGGGCCGTAGAGTACACGCATGCAGTGCCACATTAAGCCAACCACAAATCGATAAAGGCGTCATCTTTCGGAGTGCACGGCAAAAAGATGACACTTACACAGAGCTGACACACCCAGGTGATCAGTGACCTGGAGAAGCAGATAACTGCAGAGGGCAAGCCCGTGGGGGAACAAGGCTGAGACACCGAAACGCCCTGTGCTTTGTACAAGAAACGCTTGGTGAGCCCTCCTGTGCCCTTCCGATGTCAAGGCGCCACACATCCAGCCCAACCCAAGATCAACAGTTGTTTCAGTGCAAACGTACTATCAGCGATGGAGGAGAGCGATGACGCACCATTAGCAAGCTACCGCCTTGAGACACAGAGAAGTGGGATCTGCAGGCCTGGATTCGTTGAGCCGCTTCCGCGAGCCCTGCCCCTTCTATGTTACTCGGCGGGGTTGAGTCTTAAGTAGTGGGGTGCCTTTTCCTCGGGTGGGGATTTGGGTTGCTGTTAGTTCAGATCTTCACTGCGGAAGCAGCTGTTGGTCGTTTTGTAGATCATCATGACTTGGAGATTCGGATA